AATTTATTTAAAAGAATTAAAATAAACCAATAAAAAATTCAAAAGAACTAAAATCAGCATATACAGTGATATGTACAGTGCAATAATTCATGGTAACCAAGTTATGAAATCATGTAGGTGTCTGTCCGTGGATAAATGGATAAAGAAAATGTAATGTAGGTGCATGATGGAGTTTTATTCAGTCATAAAGAGGAATGAGATAGAGCCATTTTAAGGGACTTGAATGGAACTGAAGAGCATCATGTTAAGTGAAATATGCCAGATTTGGAAAGTCAAGGATTATATGTTTTTCAATCATATATAGAAGCTAGGGAGGGAAAAAAAGTGGAAGGGAGCTCTTTTGGAAATGGGAGGGGTTGAGAAAAGGGATTAGTGGGAAGAGGAAGTTAAGGCAAGAGGAGGTACTGCGGAATGAAGTCTATGAAATCTACATTGTAAATGATAATGATAGCCTAAAAGACCAAAAACCGCACGACCATTTTTAATAGAGGTAAATGCATTTGACGAAATTCACATGCATAAGGATGTAAACCCCCCAAAATGAGATACAGAAGGAATGCACCTCAAAGCAAGAAATGCAATATAGAGGAACCGTAGTAAGTAATACATATTTGAACAGGAGGAGGTGAAAGCTTTTTCTGTCATTTCTAGACCAATACATGGATACCCACACTTGCCACCACCACTGAACACACCTCCAAAAGGAAGTAAAGACAAAGAAAGAAAATCCATTAAAATTCGGGGGGAGGGATGATAAATTATCCTGTGTGCAGATGACAAGATTTTATGTGCAGAAAGCTCAAGAGATCCACTGAAAGAATGAATATATGAATCCAGTCAAGTTACAGAATACAAGGCTAATATCCACCAATTGGTAGCATTTCTATACAGTAGCAGTAAAGTGCCTGGAAAGAAACCAAGAAAAAAATAACTATAAAATAATAAGTACAAATGGTCTCTAGGAAAGGGGAAAGATCTCTGTCTTGAAAAGCATAAAACATGGATGAAAAACACGGAAGTGAAAAACTAAATAGAGAAATGCTATGTTCTTGGATTAGAAGAATTAATATTGTTAAAGTGTCCCTAATATCTAAAGTGATTTGCAAGTTTAATGCAATCCCCATCAAAATCCAGATTATATTTTTCAATTCCATAGAAAAATATTTAAATGCTCTTAAAAATCACAATCACTAAAGCAACCTGGGGCCAAAGGAATGAAATTGGAAGTCTAATCACATCACTTGATTTCAACACATAATACAAAGCCTTGGTAACTTTTAAAATGTAGTATGCTACTGAATAAAAATAGATGCACGGACCAATGGAACAGAGCAGAGGACCCAGAAACAAATCCAGCCATTTAAGGCCAACTGATTATTGATAAAGGTGCTTAGAGTACACAATGAAAACAGAACAGTATTCAAAAGCTGGTGCTGGGAAAACTGGATCTCACAGGAAGAAGAACAAATCTAGACTTGTATACTATAGAGAAAACATCAAACCAAGTGGAGTGAAAACCTGAATTTAAGAACTGAAAGCACAAAGCTCCTACAATAAAACAGGGGGAAGGCTTTGTGGTATCCGTTTGTCCTGAGTTTTAAAACATGACCTGAAAAGCAGAGGCCACAAAAGTGAAAGGAGACCAGTGGGACTATAACAAAATGAAAACTGCAACACCCCCAAAGGAAATCAACAGATCAAGGAGATGACTTAGAGAATGTGAGGGGTCCTTTGCAAATCATGAATCTGATAAAGGGTTAATATCCCAAATCTATAAGAAATGAAAGCAACTCAATGGCTAGAAAACAAACAACCCAATTTAAAAATAGAAAAAGACCTCAGTGGACTTTGCTTAAAAGAAGACACGAAAATGCCAATATCACCAGGCATCCAGGCAATGCAAATCAAAACCAGTATGAGACAGCTGTGCCTCACACCTGTGACAATGGCTTCAGCAAAGGGTGGAAGATAACTGTTGATGGAGATGTGGAGAAAAGGAAAGCCCTGCAGGATGTTGGTGGGGTTATAAATCAGTACAACCAACAACCAAAGTAGCTAGGAACGCAGAGGTCCCTCAGAAAGTTAAACACAGAATTGCTGAATGATGCAGCAACCTCACCATGGGATATTTGTCCACTGGACATAAATTTAAACATGTCAAAAACACATGTGCTTTCCCATGTTTACTGAGGCACAATTCATGATATCCAAGATTGGGAATCAACCTAAGAGTCCATCTATGTATACATACAGGATGAAGAATATGTGCTGTGTGTGTGCAGACAGACAGACAGACACACACACACACACAGACACATATAGGAGGGTATCTCTCTCTCTCTCTCTCTCTCTCACACACACACACACACACACACACACACGATGGTGTTTAGGCATAAAAAAGAAAATCCTGTCATTTATGAGAACGTGGATGAATCTGGAGGATATTATATTAAGAAAGATAAACCAGGGACAGGTAGGTCACTACTCATGGAATTTTAAAAACTTGACCTCAGTACAAAACTAGAGCAGTTGAGGGTGGTGTTGGGGGAGAAATACTGGTCACAGGAGACAAAAGTCCAGTTAGACAGGAAGACTAAGCTCAAGAGAAGTGCTCTTGTGTGGTGACTCTTGCGAATGATTTGTGTTCTTGAAAAATTCGGAGTGGATATTAAATGACTCACCACAAAATGACACCAATATGAGGTAATGTATATGTTAATTTCTTAGATTTAACTGTTTTTCAGTGTGTGATGCTTCTAAACAGAAGGTCATACACAATAAACACCATCCTGTCCATTAAAAATTATGAAATTTAAAACAACAAAAATAATTAAGAAAAAGGAAAGGATGGAATTCTTTCCACTCATAACATTGTGGACCCCAACGATCCACTCAATCTCCAAAGACAAGTTAAGGGAGATGTCATAGGAAGTTCCTAGGATTGTGTCCTTGTAGAAATTCCTCCTTCCTTAGGGGATACCTTGTGACTTTCAAACCTGACCAAAATCAGTGAGTTTGTCCTTGGAGGAAATCATTTCTTAACTGATTGGGCATAGTTAACACAAAATTGACTAAAATTTTCCATTCTGCTATCTCCTTCATACTCCAAGGGAGCAGAATTATTTGGATCTGGAGAGACAATAGAACAATCTAGTTAATTAGGAGCTCTGAGAATTGCACACTTGAGAGGACAGAAACCTCAAACATGGCCCTGTTGGCCTTCACCTGTGATTCTCAGATGCAGCCTCCTTGAAAACCCAAGTGGGCTTCCCTGGGAGAGAGAGGGTGGAGAAGAGAAAGCATCAGTCTTAGCCCTCAGAGCTGGTGGGTCACAGTGAGGCTGGGGGGCAAGGAGGTGGCATGGGGAGGACCTGGATCCTGGGCTCTGCTCCAGAATCAGGATACTGGGATGTCCCAGACTTACCTACTCCTTGAAGCTGTAGTCTCTGCACCTTGAAAAAATTGCAGCCATTACCTGAGCTATTTTATCACAAAACATACCTACCCAAGAGCAGAAAGAGCAAGAACACTCTCACACATGCATTGTGTTTGAGTTTAATTGCGCTACAGTATTATTTTCTCCTCCTATCTATGTGGTCCACATTCTTATTCCTCACGTTGGAAGAGTTCACCAGGCAGGCACTCTCTGAAAGTAGGAGCCATGAGGATCTCCATTAATTGGGAATGCTGTACAGTGATCCTAAGGTAATAACTATTATATTTTGGGGGGGTGTGTATTTATATTTTTAAATTTTGTTGCATTTTAATTAATTAATTAATTAATTTTTGTTTTCGGGGACACTTAACCACTGAGCCACACCTCCAGCCCTTGTATTTTTTTATTTTGAGAAAGGGTCTCACTAAGCTGCTCAGGGCCTTGCTAAGCTGCTGGGGCTGGCTTCGAACCTGTGATCCTCCTGCCTCAGCTGCCTGAACTACTGGCATGACAGGTGTGTGCCACTGTGCCCAGCAGATTTGTTATATTTATGATGATCATAATTTTATCCTGATTGCTGCCTGACTTAAGGGGATGTTGCTAAATGATATCCATGCAGGAAAAATGTATTGTGATGTTAAGAACAGAAGTTCACACTTAAGTGTTCATCAAATGTCTCAGGAACCACAATAGAACAATTATATCATCATGTCATTACATTTCTTTATTGGTCCTATCATATAGGAAATATTTATTACAACTACTGGAGAGATAAAGCATTCATAACTAATAGAATTTAGATGACTTTCTCAAGGTCATACATAATAAGATGGGTAGGCAAAAATCTACTCCAGGAAGTCCAAATCAAGAACTCAAGAATTTTGCAGATCAAGCTCTATTCTGCTTGTTGGGAGAGCTACTTATCCAAAACAATTATCATAAAGTAGAATAATAAAAATAATAACGACAGGTATCACTTATTCTGAATTCCACTGTATAGGAATTTTTAAATTTAAAAACAAGTAATAATAATAATAATAATAATATCTCTAGTTTAAAATAGGTAGTGACTTAGCAATCACACTATTAGGAATTACTAAGTCATAGAATAAATGTTGTTATTACTTCTAAGTCCATGCTTTATTATTGTTATAGAGCTATTTCAATTAAGGAAATGTGGGGATTATCAAGGAAAATATGAAATTTGTTCAAATATTCTGGATGGGTCATAACAAAACAAAATTATCTCATTTTAAGTTATTTCATTTTAAATTTTAAAAAGGGAATTAAAATAGGTGAGTAGACATAAAATGAGAGATTTCTGCTGAATTAAAGAAAGTATGGGTTGTTATAGACATGCAAAAGTGAAGTGAGTTACCATTTAGCCACATGAATCACTATGGGAAGGAATCCGGCATGCCAAAGGACACCCGCCTGAGGGTGACATTGTGAAGGGAGGATTACTTGATATCCAGTTGTATTGTTTTTATTTGATTGACTTTTTAACTTTGCTTGTTTGTTTTTAACTTTTGTTGATTTCTCAAGGGGAATAGACAGCTTCATGGAAGTGGAGAACCACACAGTTCTATCACAGTTCCTCCTCCTGGGACTGTCAGAGGATCCAGACCTGCAGCCCATCCTGTTTGGCCTCTTCCTGTGCATGTACCTGGTCACGGTGCTTGGGAACCTGCTCATCATCCTGGCCATCTTCTCTGACTCCCACCTCCACACCCCCATGTACTTCTTCCTCTCCAACCTGTCCTTTGTGGACATCTGTTTCACCTCCACCACGGTCCCCAAGATGCTGGTGAACATCCAGGCACAGAGGAAAGACATCTCTTACACAGAGTGCCTCACTCAGGTGTATTTTTTTATGTTTTTTGCTGGAATGGATAATTTCCTACTGACTGTGATGGCCTATGACCGCTTTGTGGCCATCTGCCACCCCCTGAACTACACGGTCATCATGAACCCTCACTTCTGTGTCTTCCTGGTGCTGCTGTGTTGGCTCACCATCTTCTGCAGTTCCCTGCTTCACATTCTACTGATGAAGAGGCTGAGCTTCTCTGTAGGCACTGAAATCCCACATTTCTTCTGTGAATTGGCACAGGTTCTCAAGGTGGCCAGCTCTGACACCCTCATCAATAACATCGTCTTGCTTGTAGCAACAGCACTCCTCTGCGTGGTTCCCGTCACTGGGATCCTCTTCTCCTACTCTCAGATCGTCTCCTCCTTACTGAAGATGTCCTCCTCTGTGGGCAAGTCTAAGGCATTCTCCACCTGTGGGTCCCACCTCTGTGTGGTCACCTTGTTCTATGGAACGGCACTTGGGGTTTACCTCAGTTCTGCTGTGACCCATTCTTCCAAGAGCACAGTCATTTCAGTGATGTACACTGTGGTCACCCCCATGCTGAACCCCTTCATCTACAGCCTGAGGAACAAGGATGTGAAGGGGGCCCTGGGGAGACTCCTCAGCAGAGCAGCCTCTGGTCCTTGAGGGACATTGATCTCAGAACTAGGTGGATGCTTGGGTCTCTGAGGCAAAGACTGTGAGTTTACATAGCATGACTCCTTTCTCCCCTGAAAAACACGCTTCTTCCTATTTCCATTCCAGAAACACCTTTGACTTTGCTTGTATAAAAGTTTGAATGGGTTTCTCCTCAACCACTTCATCAGTGCATCCTTTGTAAGTTTTCTCCCCCCAGATGTCTTTAATCTATGGGGTCCTTAATCTAAGGATGCCTTCTACTTGGGTCAGTTTTTGTCCTGAGCATTCTAATCTGATATTTAAAGCCCTTATCATGGCACATGCTGACACTCATTGCCCCCACATTTTCCTTTTGAATGTGAAGCTTCTTCACCTTAAAGTGCTTAACCTCTTCTTCCTGAAGGAACTGGTATGAAGTCATACACGTCAAAGGAAAACGATTATCATTTCACGACCGTGGTTGTCACTTGACCTGTGTGACTTTATTCATTCTGAAAAGATTTCTTTGAGACATTTTCTGTCTTTCACATAGTTTCTGAATGAAAGAGACTTGGATTAGAATGGGGTATGATGGGACCCTGAAACTGAGTACAGACTACTGACTTTGTTGTGCTACCTTTTGTAACAACAGTGATTAGATTTTGGACAAGGAACCTGGAATCTGGGAATCTTTGAAAGCTGCCTGGGTCCTGAATCATGATGATAAAATGCCTAGGAGAACGCTGAGACATTGCTTCATTCTTTGTGATACCCCATTGTTTCCCTTCTTCCATATTTCCTTCCTTCCCACATTGCTTCCTTTCTTCATTCCTTTTGGCCGTTTTACAGATTAATATTAATTATCTCTTCTTCCTTTTCACGACTAATATTTCAGTGTAAATATGCACCACAATGTTTATCCATGTATCCAATGATGACCATTGGGATAAATTCCTTGGTTCATTTCTTAAGAATAGGGATCCCATGGATAGCATGCATACTTATTTGTTTGAATACACGTAAGTGCTGCATAATGACATTTCAGATAATGACAGACCCCATATATGTATGATGGTGGTCCCATTGCATGATATCACCCCAAAGTTTTGTATCCATCTGAGTTTTTTTGAGAACACCTGATGTTTGTACAAAAGATAAATGTCCTTATAATGTCTTTCTCAGATCTATCCTCATTGTTAAGTTAAGCCATACGTGATTCTATTGTTTTTAAATAATTTGGTCACTATATATACAAGTAGGACCATGGGGTCACATGATAATTGAGTATTTAACTTTTTGAGGAATTCTCAAACTATTTTTAATATTACCTGGTACATTTTATATTCTAATGTTTAAAGATCCAGATTTCATTATATCCTTGCCCACACCTGTTATTTTCATCCTATAAACCAAATAGCTCCCAATGTGTTCTCAACTGCTGTCTCATTCTACCTTCAATTTCCATTTCCCTGTCATGTATTAGCATCTCTCTAGAAGTTTGTTGGAAGTTTAAATATTGTCAGTGGAAAAACTTCTTTTCAAGTCTTCTCATTTGGTAATTATATAGTTTGTGCTTGTGTTTCTGACCTATAATTTTTTTCTGGACACTTGATCTGGATAAGTGTTTTATGATTTTTCCCCATTGTTTTTTGGGGGAATTTCAATATCCATCTTTTGATATATGATAAATAAAACCAGACAAAAATAATGGGTTTTTGAGTACAAATATCAATAGTCATGATCTATATAATATTTATACAATATGTTGCACAGAAAATTGTACCATGTTTTCTACTGCAATTTAAAAAAATATAAAACACTGTTGAGAGGAACTAAACAACCCTTAAACAGGAGATTTGATGAGAAATAAGGGCATATATATATTATAGGTATAGAATATTGCCTAGCCTTTGGTAATAACAAATGGTAACTTATTTTAGTATTTACAAATAAAATTCTTTTGTATGTTTAATGTTTTTTATTAGAATACTATAGTTACACATCATAGTGAATTTTATTCCAACATACAGGCATGGAATATAAATAGCTCCCATTCAGTTCCCAGTACTTCCTTTTCGATCCACTCCCCCCTCTCCCTCTTCCACTTCCTCTACTCCTGGTCTTTCTTCTCTTTATTCATTGTTTTCTGAATTGGTGCTTCATAGATAAACATAAAGGTTGAATTCAATGTGATGTATTCATCTG